ACATAATGTATGACATGTTCCTTCAGTTACAAGCCTTATTTTGAGCATATCCTCATTCTATTTTTAAAACTCATATTAGAGCACATTCTAACCTGCCTGGTCCCTTAGATCATAGAAAAAATCAGGCAGATAAATTAACAAGGGTATAATGGATTGACTTCCCTAACAAGAACACACAGAATTCCACAGTAATACCTTCAGCTTAGACCAACAATGGATTCTTCCCATAAATCGGGCACATAAAATTATTAGAAATTGTCCTGTGTGTAAATCTTTACATACTATATAGGGTCCCCCAGTTGTAAATCCTCCAGGACCTCATTCTAATGATCTTTGGTTAATGGGTGTTACTCAAGTTCCATCTTTTGGATCGTATGCTTATATACATGTTTGTGTTGACACTTATTTGTGCTTATCTGAGACACTCCATACTCTGCTGAAAAGGTTTCTGACATTAGTTAATATTTATTGGAATGTTTTTCACTGATGGTTGTCCCATCTGAGATAAAAACAGATAATGCTCCATCTTATGTTAGCAGAAGGCTTTGACTTTTTTTTTTTATTGGAATGTAGAACATGACACTGGCATACCCTGTAATCCTCAGAGAAAGGCTATGGTTGAATGGATTCATCAAACACTAAAATTACAGCTCCAAAAATGTCATACTAAAGAAGGGATAGCAACACCTATAACTCGCTTAGCACTTGCACTATTTACTTTCAGTTTATTTTTCTAGCAAACAAAGAAACAAGGTCTTTGATGGGACTGATTTTGGAACTAACATTCATGGAAAATGAAGAAAATAACACCAGCTCTTCTGTGAATGGAACAGATCTAGAATTCCCAACAACTTCCTATAAGCATTATGTTTTTCTCACCTGTACAGTGGACCAGGTGTCGTGGATGTTATGGAAAAATCATATACACAAGTAATCATACTGTGGTTGATTGGGGACCCCTTGGTAAATTTCTTAGAAATTGTTCTGATGATTTCAATAAGACTGTTTGTGATTATGGTATGGAGATAGTCTGGAGTAGTACATGGCAGGGTGGACTTCTTTCTGTGTTAATGAAACATCAAAAACTAATAGCTTGGCATGAGGAAGACTACAACCCATGGCCAAGATTCCTCAACAAGGAAGTAGTTCCACAAGGTCTGGAATGATGGGAACTGTAGAAATTTACATTAGTGACTCAAAAAATTACAACTTAGGCAATTTTTCAGGATTGAAATATTCCATGTATGATTACTGGTTTACTTATAATAGTGCCATTTGTTTAGCAGGATGTGCTAAGTTGCCCTTAGTTCTAGCCCTGGAGGAAATACAATTTCGTGAGATTTTAAGGAGTGTTCAATGTACTAGATGCAAACTACACACATGTTTAAAATACCAGTCTCAATATTAATTTGTACCAAAAGAGTATTTTGATTTTAAAAGCTAGAAAACACTTTTGGCTGCCCATAAATTTGACTCGACCATGGGAAAAAAGTTGTATGTCAGGGTTAATGATTGCAGTTATGTGAGAATTGGTAAAAATAAATACATGTGTTTGTAATAGCTAAAACTTGGAAACAGCCCATTTGCCCATCAGCTGGAAATTGGATAAAGATGTGGTTTTTCTATAAAATGGAATACTATTCAGCCATAAAGAATGAGAAATTAGATTCATTCATAGGAAAATGGATACATATTGAGGATATACTCCTAAGTGAAATAAATAAGTCACATATGTATAAATACTGAATAATTTCTCTGGTGTGAAAAACTATAATGGTACATAAGATCCTAATGATATAATTGACAATGTGAAATAGGAAGAAATGGGCTAAAGGTGTAGAGGAAGTGGGAAGGGTAGGGGAAAGTTAATAAGGGAAAAGGGAAAAAAATGAGAAAATGAAAAAATGGAAATAAAGCATTTGTAAATGGGGAAGGGAAAAGGGGGTGAAGGGAGGGCCAGGACAAGGGGAAAAAATGAGAACCAAGACCTGTCATGTAAAGGTACAAGATCCCAGTAATGAATGTAACTGTACTGTATACCTAAAATGTACCGATAAACTCAATAAAAAGAAAAAAAAATGATTAATTGAATGGATTTTTGCTACTATGGTAAGACTTATTGCCATTGCCAGAATGAATGTTTCAGTGGGCATTGGGCTACAAACAGCTACTCAAACACATGACTATATGCAGAATTTAACAGCAAATTTTCATAAATTGTGGTCCACACAGACTCACGTCAACCAAAAATTGGAAACTAAAGTTATGGAATTACAATCCATCAATGTTTGGTCAGTTGATCAAACAGTCAGTTGATCTAAAAAAAACAACTCATGTTAAAATGTGATTGGAACATTGCCAATTATTGTGTGACATCATATAAATATAATGAGATTCAATATACATAGGATTTCATTAAATATCACTTACAAGCTATAAAAGGAAATATTAACTGAGGTCTAAATACTCTCCAGAGTGAGATGTTTAACACATTTGATAAAAAGCTGGCCTCAATTATATTAGAGGTATTGGCAAAAAGGAAAGCTGAGGAGCTACAGGGCTGTGACATCAGAGGATTTGTTCAAAGTTTAACATATATTATTGGAAGTTCATTTGTGGTAATGATGCTTGTTGCATTATTGTTCTTATAGGACACTTCTTCCCATGAAGAAAATTGAAGATTAACTAGCTTAAAAAATCTGCTCGAGTTATACTTGCACTACATTTGAATAAAAGAAAAGGGGGAGATGATGGAGTTGTCTAGGTACAGGAGACCACTGGGGGACGTATGTGTGTATTTAAGTATTTGTTAGGAAAGCCTGACACCAAGGCACCAAGGGTGATCTCCCAGAGATGCACTTTCAGTGTTCCAGGAACTCCCTGCTCCTTGTAGATAAGAAAAGAATGTATCCCTGAGTATGTTTATTCAGATATATGCTTTTCATAGCTTGGCTTCAGAAAGTGAATTTACTGCTGCCCTGTATAACTTTTGTAGTGTTTTAAATTCTGCAATGATTAACATAGTCCATGACTAGTGACATATAGCAGCTCACTGTGTAGGATATAAAAAAAGGAACAAGTAAAAATCTGGGTATTAGCTCCTTGGGCTCTTAACCCCTGCACCTTGGTGTTTCATGTCTTTCTTCTCTACATAAGTCCCTCTCCCTTTGGGACCCCTGACATCTAGGTGTGCCTGTTGCTAGAGCCCCTATGTACATGTTGTCTAGGAAGGCCTTTGGCTGGTGATTTTGCTCCACAGTTCCTGTTTTCTGAGCAGGCTTCTGGCTAGGATCTCCACACACTTAATGGTATCCAGGGTGAGCCTCTGGCTGTTATTTGTGTACCTGTGTACCTCTTTTCCAGATGGGCCCTTGGCTCTGACCTGTGTGCTCAAGCAACAGGGGTTGCTATGATCACAGACAGCCCTGGCTGTGATCTGCCTGCAGCCATATAGCACTGGAACACAGCAGTTCTCCCTGGGACCTGTGCTAGAACTCACCAATGTGCCTTTGGCTGGGCTGGTGTGTCTGAACTTCTGGGGTGGGGGTTGAGCCCTGTCTATGATCTGTCTTCAGCCTTGCCACTCTGGTCCACACTGCTGCTCCTCAGAAACTGCATGGGCACTCCGAGACCATACTCTTAAGTGAAATAAATTGGACACACATGTGTAAATGCTGAATTGTTTCCCTGATGTGAGAAACCAAAAGTGTAAATAAGAATCAAAATGTATAACAGCTGATGTGAAATAGAAAGAAAATTCCAACAGGGGTTAGGAAGTATGAGGGGTAGGGGAAAGTAAAGGAGGAAAGGAATAAAATGAGAAAGGGAAAATTTGGAAACCAAATCTTTGTAAATAGGGAGGGGTGGAAAGGTTGAAGGAAGGGCAGGAAATGGGGAAAAATAACAGCTAAGACATATCTTACAAAGGTATAAATTCCCAATCATGAATGTCAGCATATTATACAACTAAAATGTATCAATAAAATTAATGAATTTAAAGAAATAGACCAAGAGGAGAGATATAAAAAAGAAATTCAGGCTGTGCAATCTGCCTGTAAAAATAAATGATAAAGTAGAAAAACCCAAACTTGAAATAAAATAGAAATTACCTCATGCACAGAAGGTTTTCAGTGGTTTGTTTATGAATACGTATTTGAGTAAAGTAAATTTAGCAGGATGGCACAACTTACAAGAAAAAAGCATATTAGAGTTAAAGACTCTTCAGAAAATAAGTTATTAAAAAAAGTTTTCTCAGTTCCAGAATGAGATAAAGAAGCTGAATGTGTGGTAACAAGAGTCTGTGGAAACTAAATTTTCTTCAAAGTACAAAGATGCCACCTTCACAGGCTAAAGTAATGTTACAACTTCCCAGCATAATTCTAGAGAGAAATCCAGATACCCATCTTGTCTCCACTTCCTCTTATGCCATCTGCCTTCATTAGCACACATGATTGTCTCCAGTGGCTTTCTTCTTGATTTGTCCCTAGCTTTTCCTGGCCAGGATCTGTCTACTTTATGTTTTCTTGGAGGAGACATCAGAGAATTCCAGGGAAGGGTCACATTGTGAGTTTATACTTTCTAGATTTTCAGGGTTTGAGAGGTCAGATCTCCTAATTAGGTACTTTGTTCCATTGTCTTTCCATTCTGTAAACAATTCAGCACCCTTAGGGTACAAAGAAATGTACATAATGCATCTTTTTCAATTTTTCATCTATGTCGGTATCATGGAGTGAGACAAGTCTATTTCTACAAGTAGATAATTTTATTTTTTAATATCATTTGAAAGTCACAAAATTTACTCTCAACAAAGTATAATTGCTTCAATGAAGCAATCCAAGAAACAATGGATTGGCTGATGCAACAACAGCGTTACAGATGCTTTGGAAATACAAGAAATTAAACTTACTATACTGCTGAAGAAATTAATACATGATAGGTATAAATCCATGGCATTTCCTAAGTGCACACAATGACCACTTAGTTGGGAAGTGCATGGACCATCATGGATCAGAGGCTGCTTTGCTGCAGAGTCTCACCAGGGCTCCCTTCACATCTTTATTCCTTAGACTGTAGATGAAGGGGTTTAGCATGGGGGTCACCACACTGTACATCACAGAGGCAACAGAGCTTTTATGGGAGGAATGAGTAACAGCTGAACTGAGGTAAACTCCAAGACCTGCTCCATAGAACAAGGAGACTGTGCAGAGGTGAGACCCACAGGTGGAAAATGCTTTATACTTGGTGGTAGTGGAGGACATCTTCACTAAAGAGGTTACAATCTTAGAATAAGAGAAGAGGATCCCACTGATGGGACACACAGCCAGCAGGAAAGATGACACATACATTACGAAGATATTGACATTGACAAGGATATCAAAGGTGGCCACTTTAATAAGCATAGCCAGTTCACAGTAGAAATGTGGGATTTCAGTGCCAGTGGAGAAGGTTAGCTGATTCAGCAGGAGAACATGAATCATGCAGAAAAGTAAAATGATGACCCAGGAAGCCAGAACCAGCAGGACACATAGCTGAGGTGTCATGATGATCACATATTTCAGGGGATGGCAGATGGCCACAAAACGGTCATAAGCCATCACTGTCAGTAAGAAATTTTCCATTCCCCCAAAATTCATAGAAAAATACACCTGAGTAAGGCACTCTGTATAGGTAATATCTTTATTGTGTGCCTGAATATTCACCAGCATCTTTGGGACTGTGGTGGAGGTAAAACAAATGTCCACAAAGGATAGATTGGAGAGGAAGAAGTACATGGGGGTGTGGAGGTGGGAGTCAGAGGTGATCGTGAAAATGATGATCAGATTCCCAAGCACTGTGACCAGGTACATGGAGAGAAACAGTCCAAAGAGAAAGTGCTGCATTTCAGGATCGTCTGAGAGACCCAAGAGGATGAACTGTGATGCACCTATGTGATTTTCTCCTTCCATGGCACTGGCTTGTTTTCCAGAAAAGGAAGAAATAGCAACACTCAATGAACAAAACCTGAAAGACAGGCAGTCATGATTCACAGTATCACCTGTGGATGGAACTCCTTCACACTCTCCTCAGTCAATGAGAGTGGTTTCTGCAGTCAAATTGTAGCTTGTTTCACTTTCAAATCCATATAATAATTTACACTTCCCATAATGCAACTGAAATTTCTTTTTTGTAGCTTTTCAATTTTCCCACTTGAATTTGTAGATGTATTCTAAATTTGTTGTTTGCTACCATCTTTCTAGAAAAATTGAAGACTTTTTATGTACATTCTTCATATTTCTTCAATACCTTTACTATAACAAACAAAAAGATATTTTAACACCTGCAAGCAAATTTTACTCTATGAATCAGATTTATACTGATGTTGCAGCTTACTTTCAGTGCCTTATTTTTTTCTATCCATCTAAAGATATGGCTACTACTGAAATACTGCAGTGTTCAAAACTTACTGTTTTTATAATATTCTCAATTAGTGACAATTACCAAAACTACTTGTTAAATTATTATTATTCATTAAAACTTGTTACTTTATCATTAAAAAGTGTTACATTATTTTTTGTCTTCATAATAATTTCTTTATATATGCATTCCACTATGGTACAAATGAACAGTCTTTCCCAGAAAAGAAGAGCTAAGTGGAAAAAGAGGCCTCCTTCTTACCATGGTGATATCCAGAGGCAAGAATATTGCATCACTATTCTTTTGATCAGTGGCTGCTCCCTAATGCTGGTAATTCAGGGTAATTGAGGCTCTTTATTATTTTTTATTATTTACCAGTTAGTTCTCTTTTGGGGGGAAACACAGAGTATGGAGCTGTTGTGTAAAAAAATTGGTTCTTCAGTAAGAGTCCTGGATCATAATGCAGGAACATAAAACTTTTTGATATTCAGAATAAAATTTCAACTCTCTTAGCTGCAAACATCTCACCTCTACAGTTCTTCACATTAGGACAAAGGCAAAATTCAATGCTTTGATGTAATTGTTCTATGGTGTCTGCAATAAAATGGTCCATTCCTGAAGACTACTTTCTGTTCTTCACCCCTCAGTGAAATGTTTTGAATGATACTGATTTATGAACATTCCCTCAATCTACCACTGATATCATAGATGGGATTCTGATCAGTACCAGCACACCAGGCTTCTCACCACTATTCAGTGCCATGCAGCTTTTCTTATGAGTGATGATTGAGCATTTCTCTTTCACAAAATAACTCCCCAGGAAATTCTCCCAAGTAGAAAACCTCATGTGGATTAAGTGGATAAAAGGAGGAGAGAAAAGCATCTCTTGAAATTCTAAAAAATCAATTAAAAATTCTGCTTAGATGTCCATATCCCAGAGTCAGAATGTATTGTGATATACTTAGTAGCTGTAACAGTCAAAATGTGTGTTGATAGACTTGACAAAAATACTTCAAAATTATAATAATAAAACTATGGTGTAAAGATTATGTTTATAAAAATAAAAATTAGCAATGAAGTTTTACATTCTCTCTGACATAAAGTGTCAGGATTACAAATGCCTAGAGATTGTTCATTAACTCAAGATAGAAATCATCATCAAGCATGTTTACTTTTTGACGGTGGATTGGAAAGTCTTTCCTAAAGGAAGAAATTTTAAGCTGATAGAGAAGGGATGGGTCATTGGTCATCAGAGAAGAGGAATACTATAGTAGTCAAGCCTGTTGGAACAGAAGTTGTGGTTTTCTTACCAGACACTGAGGATCACATAGAAGGGAGAATGTTCTGTTATGTGTAGCACTGAGGGTGTGACCTTTTGATAAAAAAATATGTCTTGCCAGGTATTTAGAGGGAATTTGTTACATTGATTCTGGATATTTGCTTAATACATACTAAATAACAAAACTAAAAATGTGCTGTAATATAACAATAAATCCTTAAACTGATTAGAAGCCTAAACAAATCCAAGACTGAGCAGCCAAATTAAGTAAAATCCAGCTATAGCTATTTTAAAAGAGCAACAAATACCAAGTGAGGAATAAAAATTCTAGGAATGGAAGCTTCCTTAACACTAGGATGCTCACTAATATAATTTATCATTAAATAGATCAATGCAAAAATCCACCTATAATTACAATACAGAATTATATTTCAGTAAATTTAGGAGGCATTTACATGGCTAGTATCAAGTGTGAAGTCTCTGTGGAAATAGAGAAACCAAGGACATTTTTGCTAACTTGAAAGACTATAGTTGTTTTCAAAAGAGTCTAGCAGAAATGTTACATGGAAACACTAGAATATTTGTGTTATTATCATGAAAATCCCAAGACAGTCTCTGCAACTATTATAATTCCATATTTTCCTCAATGTGTAAAGGAATCAGTAATATGATAAAAAGAAATTAGGAACGATTATTATACATCATAATTACAGAATTTGTATGCTATTGTGGACAGTAAGATGAAATCATAAGCCATAAGGTTCTGGAAGTGGAATCTGGCTGTAAAAATAGAGATATAAAGAAAAACTCAAATATGGAACAAAATGGAAAATACTTCATGCATAATAGGTTTTCAGGGGTTTGTTATCAATAAATAATTCAGTGAAGGACATCTAACAGGAAGGTTCAACTTTTAAGAAAGAGCAGAAAAGAGTTGAACCCTCTCCATAAAATAACTTACTGGAAAAATTCTCTAGGGTCCAGAAGGAGAAAAGGGAGCCTATTGTGTAAAAACGGCAAATGCCAATGAAAACTTAATTTCCTTCAAAGTACAGAGATGTCCCCTTCACAGCAAATGAAATTTTCAATTTCTCAGCATCATTATTCTAGAGGGAAAGCCAGGTACCCACCTTGTCTTTGCTTCTTCTCAGCCCACCTGTGCTCAGTAGCACACATGATTGTCTGAAGCGGGTTTCCTTCTCCACTATCAGTCCCGAGGAATCCCCTTTATGTTTTCATGAAGGCTGATAAAATTATCTGGGAGGGGCACAAGAGCTAGTATATAGTTTCTAGCATCTTAGGGTTTGAATTGTCAGAGCTCCTAATTAAGTAAATTGGTCTATTTTCTTTTCCTTGTACAAACAATTCAGCTCCTTTGGGGTACAAAGAAGAGGAAAACGGAATAAACTCTTTAAATTTTGCATCTATGCAGGGTACCATGGAGTCAGATCAGTCTATTCCTCCAAGTGGATACTTTTATTTTTTAATTTGATTTCAAAGTCTCAAAGCTTACTCTAAACAAAATATATTTTCTTCAGTGAAGCTATACCAGAAACAACTGCCTATGATAAATGGTCTTCAGAATTTTTGAGGTTTTGTGGGCTATTTAGTACTCACACTGCTAAGAATAGAGGTTTATCTTTTAAATTTTTCTTATTTTTCAACTTTATTTTAATTTATAATTTAAAAATATTGTTATTATTGCATGTTTGCACTACATACTGATTACATTTGTCATGGGGAGTTGGTACATGTACCCAACACATTTCATTTTTGCATCTTCCCTTCCTTCCCTTACTCTTTCTCCATCTCTTTAAACAAATTACAGAGGAAAATAAAATGTAGACATCAGTAGTTGTGGTTTACATCTGGATGTCCCCCTGAGCTTCTTGAGCTCAAAGGTGGGGCTTTAGAAATATGGTTGGATTACGGAGGCAGCATGGCTGACTTACTCTTAGGTAGTGGGCTCTCCTTGGAAGAGGTGGGGTCGCTGTGGCCAGGACCTGGGAGGGTAGTTCTTCCTCCCAACTCCTCCCTTGAACTCTCCCTGCTCTCCTCTGCCCAGGTCCTTCCACCATCCTGGTTCTGCTTTGGAGCCAGATGAGTGGACTGAAACATACAGCCTGTGGGCCAAAGTCAACCTTTCTTCATTAAGCTGTGCATGTTAGATCTTGTGTCCCAACAACATAAATACTTGCAAAGACATTAAGAACCTGGAAGAGAGATCATTTGCAAATGTAAAGGGGATAAATTTTGCCTAGTTTTTAAACTATCAGATAAAATTCACTGTAAATACACATAACATAATATTTGAAAGTGTTTTATATCATTAAACTGTCATATTTAGAAAAGTAACATAAATATTATATCACATTGATATAATTTTGAGGGAGAAACACTCAACATCCACTCAGAATAGTTTAAGTGTGCAGAATATCATTAACTGCATTCCTTGTGTTGCAAAGTTATCCTTCCACTTTTTTCTGATATCTAACTGTAATTTTGTATTATTTGCTGATCTTTTGCCCAGGTCTTCCTCAGCCTGTGGGAATTTCCATTCTCCTTCAATAACTATGAAATCAACTTTATAAATTCCACACATGAGTGAGATCATGCACTATTTATCTTTATGCATTTTGGTGATTTCACTTACTACATGTTCTAGTTCACCCATACTACTTCACTCTGGTTCCCTATTGGAGAGTAATGTGAATATTGAAAGAAAACAATACTACTGTCAATTATAGAAAGGAGAAAAATGTGGGAAAGTCTTCACCCAGAAGAAATTGTAAAATTGAAGAGACAGATGTGTATAATCTCTATCAAATATTCTCCAATATATACATGTATGAAATTGTTACATAGTGCCCCTCATAGGTGCCATTTTTGTTTTTACATGTCAGTTTAAATACATTTTACATCCACCCCATATGATATGCATATTAAAATAAATGCATTTAGAAATAAAACTGAAGACATTACAAAAGATCACAAGAAAATATTTTGTGTGAGTTTTTGCTCAAAAGATCAGATATCCTAGAAGTAAAGTATGGAATCTTAATGACATAGAAATACAAACAGACCAAAATGTAAATTAAGTGAATGAATAACAAAATCCTCCTTTAAAGAGAAGCCTGGAGTTCGGGCCTGGTGGCACATGCCTGTAATCCCAGCACTGGGGAGGCTGAGGCAGGAGGATCGCTGTGAATTCAAAACCAGCCTAGGCTACAAAGTGAGTTCCAGGTCAGTCTCCACTACATAGTGAGATCCTGT